AAAAAAAAAAAAAGGAAAATCAGATCGCAGAAGAAAGGGAAACGAAATATCAAATAGCAGAAACTGAATGAAAACCCTCTCAAAACCTATATTTGAGATTAAGCATCGTCCCGTGAAACTTGACTCTGATATCATATTAAACAATTCAAAGAAATAAAAAAAAAGGAAGATGAGGCTAGGATTTCATTAATTTTGTATCATGCAACTGAATACAAAAATATAATTTAATCTAGAAACAAAGAGGCTATATGTAGGCTAAACAAAGGAAATTGAAAAGACTATTTTACCCTTAATAAACAATAAAATAAAATAACCATATATGTAGTAGCTTTTTAGCATTAAAAACAATTTTTGACCTTTTAGAAGTCATGTCAAATTGGTCTTTACTGCGTTAAAAGACTACTACATGAAATTACACATTGCACTCTTTACTCTAAACCGAGACAAGTGGTAGGGACATACAATTTTACTAATCTTAGAGCTTATTATAAATTATAATGATAAGAAAGCAAGGTTTTAAAGGTAAAATCATATACGCGCCCAATGTGTATTATGATTAATGTTTGGTAAAATTAAGCCAAGACAACAAGTTAAGGTTTATATGAGAATCTAGAATAGAAAACAAGACAAAATAGTACGTATGTAGATGGCTCAAAAACATATACACACATAGTTCCATCATTAAAGAACATGGATAAATAATAAAATTATACAAAATAAAATAATTTAACTAAATAAAATTATAGGGGCCATCACTTGTTGAGCACATAACCATGCCTAATTCATTACTTGAACTTACGGACGGATTAGGTGATTATGGGATTTTTAGATTTCTTTGAACTGTGGAATCAAGTTGTCTACTTTGCAACAATTGAATGGGCCCGAAGATCCAACTTCTTGATTAAGCTTTCTAGGATAAGTTTGGAGGCGATAAAATTGTGACAATGAGCGTTCTAGATATTCGATATTTTGCAGTTTTGTGTTGAAATATAAGATAGAGTTTGTTTTCAATGAAGGGTCTAAGCAATAACGGTAAAGTAGGATTCTAGTCTCAAGTGTAAGCAATTTATTAACCAGAATAACAAGATCTTTAGAATTCATGATTTTCACATATAGGTTTAATTGATCAAGAAACATACCTTGATCCATAACAATAATTGAAAATTTTAAACATTTGAAAGAGAAACTAGTAAAATCATGAAACTTTTCTCTCTGTCTTTATCTTTATGTAATTGAACGTCTTAATTTGATGGGTTTCATTCACTTTTATAGGTAGAGAAAGATAGTTTCATGGGTCATAAAAACTACCCACTTTCCATTAAAGCGAATAGTTATAAAAAAACTTTCACTTCTCAATGGGTCAATAGAATTTTAGTAATAATAAATAATTTTAATTAATTTATTAATAATATTACTCGTGCCACATTAATTGGCCTTACAGTCTCCTACTTGGTCCATGTAATATCATTTCACTATGTGGTTTATAACATAATGCGAATATAAAAAAACTTAAATTCTTCATACACTGATCACTTAGAGTGTGTTTGATTGCATTTCTTTTTTATGTAAAATGCAAAATTTCCACCCAAATTCCTACTTTTGAGTGTTCGATTGCTTTTTTTTTTTCCATTGAAAATATTTTCCCTAGGAAAACATTTTCTTTTCTAGGATATAATTTCCATATCAATCAAACACACTCTAAATATAATAATATGATTAACTAAGCTTAAAAAAAGGTTAAAGTTACTTACTAAATAATATTATTCACAGTAAACACTACCAGTAGTAGCCCTACATAGTATACACATGACATTTTATTATTGATGCATGAAGTAATTAAATAACAAACTGTCATGTGCATGCAAAATATCATCACTTACTTTTATGAAATGTTTTGTTTCCAAACATTTTTTTATTTAAATAACTTACCATATACATATTTCAAAATAAAAAAAAATTATTCTTCTTGAAAATAACATTTTATTTTACTGTCAAGGCAATGAAATTACATATTTTCAGAAATAACCAAATAAAAAGTAAATTAGTGTAAACCTAATTTTTTTACTTACAGGTAAAATGTTTAAACTCAGCTAAACATATCTATTATGATTAATCTAACTCAAATATTTATTCTTCTTACCATGATTTTCAAAGATATGCCACGATTTTCTATGATTTCAGTTTTTCCTAGTCAATTTTTCAAATGATTCTAGATAATTAGGACCTTATAAAGGTAACTTTCGTTGAATTTGGGTCGAGAAATAGGATATGAAGGCGCATAAATAAAACTAACTTTCTTTGATTTCATTGTAAAATGACGCGGCAAAAGGTTAAGGATGAGGTCAGTTTTATGGGACAGAAAATTTGATACTTAATTCCACGTGGAAGACAAAAGATTTAGGCCGGCAACTTTGAGCACATTCCGTTGTGAATTGGAAATGATGAAATAGGGAAGATTTTTAGTTGTTTCTTAATTGGATTTCATCCAATTTTTTTAGGATTTCATTTAAGGTAAATTTCGCCTTGGGGTGGGTTTGGGGACTCGTATGAAGATTTATATTCTCTGTGTTCCTGGCGCTAAACAGGGATAAAACAAGAGCCAGTGCTTGCCCCAGCTAACTGAAAACATTCATTATATCACTCGGCATAGAAAACTCTAAATTAAATTCTCAATTAGTATTGAAAATCGTATTGAAAATCTTGAAGACTGTGAGAACAAATACAACGAGGAGCCTAAATGACCACTCGTCGAAAGATGATGAGAAGTATGATAGAGCGAATATAGTGTACTTTCATTAAGTCTTAACAATGTACTATATTAATTATATTTTCAACTTCAGCTGGAAGGTCAAGCAAAGGAGAAAAATGGAGAAATGGAGAAAAAAAAAAGACACTTTAATAGAAAAGTAGAACAAAATTCTTTATTAAGGCAAAAACGCCATTTATGCTGAAATACAGAAATTGGGAGGCAAACGTGTTTTCATTATGTTTGACAACGTTAAGACATATATAATTGGAAAACATTTAGGCACAAACATGAGGATTGGCATTCAGGTAATCTGCATAAGCCTTGTAGAGTCCAAATGATTGTTCCTTGCTTGCATTAATGTCCTCTTCTTTTAGTACAACATCACCCTTTGTATGATACTCAGTGGTGATCTTGACAACACATCCTGCATCCTTTGAGTCCTCGAATTTCACCTCGTAGCTGATAGATTCAATCTTGTCTCCAAGTACGTCTCCCTCAACTAAAGTCAACTTGCCCACGCAGTTTTCAGGGTCCAGATGGTCAATCCTATTCTTCATGTACTTGTGTTGAGCTCCTGTAGGATAACACCGATGCTCATGAGATTATGAAAAAAAAAAAAAACCTAATGACACATTTAGTATGCTAGATTACAAACATTGTACATGATCAACAAATATTTTATCTTGTCTGTATAATGCGGTATATTATTACCCTAAGTTGTATTTTTTTTAATGATTTGTATTTAAAAGCAAACTTGTCACGTGTTTAGTAAGCTATTTTGAAAATATTCGATAGGATTAACGATAGCCTTATCCTGTTAGTACTGCAAATAAATTTTAATATTCTTGTTCTTTTTTCGTGATATTGTTTTGCAGACTAACCATCACTGAAATTTGTCTGCATGATGCTTCCAACACCGCCATCACCTTGAACTGTCTCTATGCTCTTGATGAATGGGGAGGCTTTCGGCAAAACATCGGCGTTATCAATCATCACAGCCTTGAACATCCTTTTGTGAGAAGCATTAGCTTTGATTTCATGGAAAAACTTGAAGATACCCATGTTTTTTCGTGAATATTATAACCTAGGAAGACTCAAACGAAGTGAATATAAATTGAGAGCTGTGAAGAAAACCGAACCTGAAGAGGGAATTTATAGGTGTGGTGGAGAGGATAACGTCATTTTCATATTATTATACTGCAGCTTAAAATTCATTATTTTAGCACGCCATTATTGACTATCTATTTCTTTTCCATAATCTATTCATTCTGTTGCGTTCCATTCAAAGGCCATGAATTAGAAAAGATTACAGTTTCTGACAGATGCATTGGAGCTTTTGCTATCAAAATTGTCCAAATTGTACAGCTACCGGTATCCCGGTTGAATTTTTGGTAGTTGAATAATACCGCAAGAAATTCTAGATAATTAGGAACTTTTAAAGTAAAATAATACCAAAGTTTATTTGATGTTATTGGGCTGTGATGCCAAGGTATTCAGTCCAATATGTGAGCAATGATGAATCTGGGCCTGGCCCATTTGCAGATTTTAAGGTTTTATAACCCATTGCCTGATAACCCAAGTCCTGGGCCCAAAACCCAAATCCGTAAGGAAAGCTGCATTTTGTAAGCGCGACTTTAGTGTTACCTCTTAATGCATAAAGTGTTAGTTGCTCTGAGTTGTTGATGATCACCTAATATCAAAGGTTGTTGTGTGGGCTATATATAGGGACTTATATTGATGCCCTGGTCTCACTTCTAACTCTTATTCTTCTCGAACCTTCTTCTTTTCTCTTGGTGATACTATTTGTTGGCTTCCTTTCTTCACCTCGGTTGAAACTCATTCAGTTTTAAGTAATCCTTTGTGGTATTCTTTTGTGGGTAATTCTGAAATTGAGAGGGAAAAAACGGGAGTGATCTTGCTTCTGGCTCATTCTAGTAGAGTTACTTTTTTCTTAGGGTTTGGGTATTTTGTGGTTCTAGCTTGTACAAAATAGCACAATGATCTGAGCCCCATTTTGATCGATACTACGATGCCTTTGGTTGATTCTTGGATGTAATAGTTTGATAGGTTCTTGATCTGTTGTGTTCTTGGATTCTTCGTTGTAATAGTGGCATCAGAGCCTTTTGTGGCTATTATTGGACCCTCGATCATGATCTGTTTGTAAAAAATCAATTTTCTCAACAAGATCTGTTTCAATCCGTCGCGATTTAACTTTGGATGAAACCCTAGGTCCTAAAATCAACGAATCTTGACTGTTGATGTGATATTTGGATATCTTAAGGAACTGGTGACCTTCGAATCCTGAAATCTATCCATTTGTTTTCTGGTGGTCAAATACAAAAGACCACCACTCTAGTTCGCTATGTATCAAGTTAAGCTTTGACTCGGGGACTTGATCCTCGTGGAATCCTGATCAATTTGGATATTGGAAATCTTGGGGAACTTCTTGCTACTACTACTTCTAGTTGTCTGGTTATAAGAGTATTTTGTGTTTATTATTTTGAAATTATGACTGCAATATGAATTCTTTACATTGTGTGTTAATCATTTTTTTGTGTGGTAGTAATTTATTGTTGAACATTGAACTTCTCAAAAAAAAATTTGTGTTGATTAAAATTCTTTAATATGACAATTGCTACTTTTGAACTTGGAGTTTTTAATGGAAAATAGGATTTTCCTATTTGACAACAAAAAATGAAGGGAGTCTTTGTCTAACAAAAGGTTTCAAAAGTTAAAACACAAACATTTCCTGAATCCATGACCGCTGAACAAATAGATGAAGTTGCTAAGAAAAGTAGGAAAATTAGATACTGCTAAAGACTTATGGGATAAATTGGATGATCGTTATTTTGTTAAATCTTTACCAAATAAATTGTTCCTCTGGGAGAAATTCTTTAGTTTTAAATTAGACCATTCAAGAGATCTTGATGACAACCTTGACACTTTTAACAAATTGGTACAAGACATTACCAATGCCAGAGATATGGTCTCTAAGGAGTATAAAGCAGTTATACTCCTCAATGGCATACCAAAGGCATATAAGGATGTCAAATCTGCCATAAAATATGGTAGGGACACATTGACTCGTGAAGTTGTCATCAACTCTCTTAGAAGTAAAGAATTGGAGTTAAGGTCTAAGAGACATGATAAAGAATTTGATCCTTTTCGTAAAGACACTGGGATTTTAAGACATAAATATATTCCTTATACTCCACAGCAAAATGGAGTTGCTAAAAGAATGAATATAATCCTTTTAGATAAAGTTAGGTGTATGATAATCAGTTTTGGAGTTCCTAAGGTTCTGTGGGGTGAAGCTCTAATGACAGCAGCTTACATTGTTAACAGAACACCTTCCAGTTCTTTAGAAGTAAAAACACCTAAGGAGACGTGGTCTCGATAAACTCTTGACTATTCTCAATTGAAAAGCTTTGGTTGTCCTTCTTATCCTCATCAAAATGTTGGTAAGCTTGAGTCGAGATCTTTAAGATGTGTTTTATGGGGTATTCTGTTGCGTAAAGGGATATACACTTTGATCTAGAGAATCTAAGGGCTTTAAGATGATAATTAGAAGGGAAGTGATTTTTAATGAGTCTAACATGCCCTATTTGGAGACTAGAGGTGATGAATCTATCTCTGGTGGAAGAGAAAAAAATAGAATTAAGCTGCAGTTAGAGTTTGACACCTCTTCTAATTCCATTAATGAAAATTAGAACGATAATGGAATTTAAGAGATGGATGATACAATTGAAAACGTAGAAGTGAAGTTCAAGATAGTAATAGGGATCATGGTGCCACTTTGAGTGATTATCAGTTGACTAGGGACATGACTAGAAGAGAAATTAGAGAGCTTGTAAGGTTCAGTGATTACCTTTATCTAGCTTACCATCTTATCAGGATCTAACCTTTAAAGAACCTAAATCTTATGATGATGCCATAAGTTGTCAGTTATCACAACATTAGCTGGCTGCTATGAAAGAACAAATGTCTTCCTTACTTAAAAATGAAACTTGGAAATTAGTTTCCAAGAGTGCAGGTAAATCTATAGTTGATTGTAAATGATTTATACCATAAGGAAGAGAGTTCTCTGAAGTACCTTTTCAGGTTTAAGGCTAGACTTGTAGCTAAAGGATTTAGACAGAAACCTGGTATAGATTGCAATGAAATATTCTTCCTTGTAGTTAATATACACAATTAGAATAGTGTTTGCATTGGTTGCTCATTGTGATTTAGAACTTAAACAAATGGATGTTAAAACAACTTTTCTACATGGTGATTTAGATTAAATTATCTATGTCTCAACCACAAGGCACTATTGATAAAAGTGTGTTTGTTAAAAAGATCTTTATATGGGTTCAAACAATCATTGTCTATACTTTAAAAAAAAAATGAAGCAGGTTCTGTGATTGTTCATTTGCTCCTTTATATGGATGACATGATGTTAATTGGTCCTAATAAGCATTATATTAATGACATTAAAAAGTTTTTAAATTCTAAATTTGAAATGAAAGACTTGGGGCATACAAAAAGAATACTTGGTATGGATATTATAAGAAATAGGCCTAAAAACTTGTTAATATTTAACTAAACTGCTTATGTGGAATAAGTTTTGTCAAAATTCTCTATACATGAGTCTAAGTCTGTGACTTTACCACTTGCTTCACTTTTCAAATTAAGTAAAGACCAATGTCCCATAGATGAATCTAGCATGAAATATATGAGTAAAGTCCCATATGCTAATGTTGTTGGATATGTGATGTATAGAATGGTCTACACAAGACCTGATGTGGCCCATGTCATAAGTACCCTTCGTAGGTTCATGGCTAACCCAAGTCTTGAACAATGGATTACTTTGAAATGGTTGTTGAGGTACTTAAAAGGAACATCAAAATTGGGATTATGTTTTAAATCTTGCAATGAGGGGATTGTGTTGAAGGGTTTTGTCAATTCTGACTATGTTGGGGATAGAGACAATAGAAAATATGCTATTGCATACATGTTTACTTTGTGTGGTACTTGCATTAGTTAAAAGTCTCAATTGCAATCAATTGTAGCTCTGTCAACTATAGAAGCTAAATATGTGGCTGCAACTGAGGCAATTAAATAAGCTATGTGACTTAAGGGATTATTGTTTGAGATAAATGAATTATCTAATCCTGTAGTTTTTTATTCAGATAGTTAGAGTGTAATTCATTTGTGTAAAAATCCGATTTTTCATGAAAGAGCTAAACACATTGATGTGAGAATGCATTTGATTAGGGATATAATTAATACAGAATCTATGTTACTTGAAAAAAATCCCCACCCTGTTAATCCTGCTCATATGGTAACAAAGTTACTGCCTATAAAAAAGTTTAAATCTTGTTTACCAATCTTAAAACTTGATACTAGATAATTTTAAATTTTATTGCAGGTACGTACATTAGATGCAAATGGTGGACTATAAAGTGGCCCTAAATACTTTAGTGTTATCTTCATTTTGTTCATCGTTTTGTTACTATTGGCATCAAGGTGGAGATTCGTTGGGTTGTGATGCAAAGGTATTCAATCTAATATGTGGCCAATGATGAAACTAGGCTCGACCCATTTGCAGGTTTCATAACCCGTTGCTTGATAAACCAAGTCCTGGGCCTAAAACCAAAATCCATAAGGAAAGCCACGTTTTGTAAGCGCGACTTTAGCGTTGCCTCTTAGTGCATAAAGTGTCAGTTGCATACACCTATTTCGAGTCCTAAAATATCGATATATGTAGTTCTTTTGACAAAATATATCCTAAGTTGTTGTATTTTATATTGTATAGATTAAAGTCAATGGTTGATCGAGGAACTCGAAGAAACAAAAGAAAATTAAGGACAAAGGACAAAGTCCAAAGTTTGAGGATCAAATTGAAAATTTTCAATAGTTGATTTGGATCACAGGATGACACTTTGAAAATTATTAAGAGACAATTGGATGAGATTAGAACTCAAAAGGGAATGTAATAAGATCAAAATATTATCAAAATCAATTTCCAATCGTACAAGTTATATTCCAAAATTTTAGTCGAAGATTAAGACCTATTTTTG